CACCACCAGCCTCATAAAGTCTTGAGTGTGTTCTCTTGTTTCAGGTCTTTACAAAAAAGAAACAAAGTAATAACACTGTTGCAACTGTTTATGAACCTCTCCTCAAACCCGTTTCCTTCCCTCCCTCCGCCCCCCAACTCCCCCCCACCGCACCCCTCCACACCGGTAGTCATCATTCAGAGTATCTGCTTTCTCATGTACTAGCATGTTTTTATGCTATTTCTACACATGTAGGTATCCACAAAAATATTGTTTGGTTTTGCTGTTTTTAAAAGGTATAATTTATATAAACAAAATTATACTATCATGTATTTGTTAGATACACAACATTGTTTAAAATACGTAATAGGCCCGGAACTGTGGCTCATGCCTGTAATCCCAGCACTTTGGGAGGCCGAGGCTGGTGGATCACCTGAAGTCAGGAGTTTGACACCAGCCTGGTGAACATGGCAAAACACCAAAAATACGAAAATTAGCTGGGTATGGTGGTGCATGCTTGTAATCCCAGCTACTCAGGAGGCTGAGGCAGGAGAATCAATTGAACTCAGGAGGCAGAGGTTGCAGTGAGCCGAGATTGCACCACTGTACTCCAGCCTGAGCAACAGAGCAAGACTCTGTCTCAATAAATAAATAAATAAAATAAAATACGTAATAAAGTACATAATATTTTTCACTCAGTGTTTTATATTCAGCCATGTTGATCCTTGCAACTGTAGTTCATGAACATCCCTCAATTTATTTCCCATCTAGGAACAATGAGTTGCTTCCAATTATATTTGTTGGTTTGTTTGCTATTAAAAACAATGGTTGGTTGCTTGAGACAGAGTCTTGCTGTGTTGCTCAGGCTGGAGGGCAGTGGCATAATTTTGACTCACTGCAACCTCTGCCTCCTAGGTTCAAGCAATTCTCCTGCCTCAGCCTCTAGAGTAGCTGGGATTATAGGCCTGCACCACTATGCCTGGCTAATTTTTGTATTTCTAGTAGAAACGGGGTCTTACCATGTTGGCCAGGCTGGTCTCAAACTCCTGACCTCATGATCTGCCCACCTCAGCCTCCCAAAGTGCTGGGATTACAGGCAGGAGCCCCCCCCAAAAAAACAGTGTTTTAAGATCATTTTCTGGATGCACACACCACCATGGCATGTGCATACCTATGTAACAAATCTGCACATTCTGCACATGTATCTCAGAACTTAAAGTATAATAAAAACAAAAACAAACAAACAAAAAACAAGATAACTTCCCATGTCTCCTGGTACTCATGCTTTCTCTAGGATGTAAACATGTGAGAATTGAATCACTGAGTCATAGGGTTTGTGCACTTTTAATAAAATATCAAACTGTTTTGCCAACTAGTTGTACAGTTTACACTCTCAGAGGCAGTGAATCAGAGGTTCTGACACTTTATCAGTGATAATATGCCTTACCAAGATTTGGTATTGCATTTCCCTGACTATGAATGAGGTCAAGCATCTATTTTGTGTACTTATTGACAATTCATATGTGTATATATATATTTTTGAGAAGGAGTCTCACTGTATTGCCCCAGCTGGAGTGCAGTGGCGTGATCTCAGCCCACTGCAACCTCTGCCTCCCAAGTTCAAGCAATTCTCCTGCTTCAGTCTCCCGAGTAGCTGGGATTACAGGCACGCGCCACTATACCCGGTCATTTTTGTATTTTTAGTAGAGATAGGGTTTCACTATGTTAGCCAGGGTAATCTAGAACTCCTGACCTCAGGTGATCCGTTGGCCTTGGCCTCTCGAAGTGCTGGGATTATGGGCATGAGCCACCACGTCCAGCAACAATTCATATTTTTTAATCTGTAAAATGTCTTGACAGATCTTTTTTGCATTGTTTTTTCTCTTCTGTTGTTACTTGCTGATTCATAAGAGATCTTTACATATTCAGGATGCTAAACTTTTAATGTAGTCTTCAATTAATCATTTTTTAAACGTTTGTGCTTTTTGTGTTTTGTTTAAAAAATCTTTCTCCACCCCAAAGTCATAAAGCTCTTCTACTCATTCTATTATCTAAATATTTAAAACATTTGTCCTTCACATTTAGATCCATTCTGAATTGATTTTTGATTGTATTCTTTTTTTTTTTTTTTTTTTTTTTTTTTTTTGAGACAGGGTCTCACTCTATCACCCACACTGGAGTGCAGTGGTGTAATCTGAGCCTCCTGGTGCACACCACCATGCCTGGCTAAATTTTGTATTTTTGGCAGAGACAGGGGTCTCACTATGTTGCCCAGGCTGGTTTTTATCTCCTGAGCTCAAGCAATCTGCCCTGTGTCAACCTGCCCTGTGTCAACCTCCCAGTGTGCTGGGTTTATAGGTGTGAGCCACCATGCCTGACCCTGAATTGATTTTTATGATTGATGTAAGGTAAGGGTCCACTTTCATTTTTTCCATAGAAAACCAAAATTTCCAGTACTATTTACTCTTTTCCCCACGTATATGTCATCTATCAGGTCTGCATTTATCCACAGGTCAATTTCTGGTCTCTCTGTTATGCCAATTGTCTATCCCTGTGCCCATGCCACATAGTTTTAGTTATTATAGTTTTATAATTAGGGTAACAATGCTTCAAGTTTACTGTGGACCAGTCACCATCTGTTATAGCATTTGTTTCATTTGTCATTTTTTTAGCCACGTATTATTATTCATAGTTGCATTATAATATGCTGGAATGAGTTTGGTAAACCTTCACTTTGTGCTTCAGTTCCTATCTTGTCTCTAGTGTATAAGAGTCCTCATTGTGACGTGTGGTTAAAACTGGAATATCACTAGTAATGATCAGTATTTTCCCCACAACTCTTTCCAGAGGCAAGATAACTATCAAGTCTCTTTCAAGGACAGCCTGCTGGGCACTTATCAATAAAGTAAGGCGAGGAAGGTGACTCTTTACAATCTTGAGTAGTGGTGAGAGAAGTATTAGATATGGCTGCTCCTGATGACTGTTTGGTATACAAGACAGTAGGACCAGGCCAGCCAGGCAACAGAGTCAGTGGAGAACATGGGAAATTCTAAATTAGATTACATAAACTATGTGCAGGAAATAAGGGCTGAGCAGTCCTGCAATAGAGTATATAGAAGGGAGATGGACACTCTTGTTACAGTGGTTTCGGTATTTATTGTATGGTGGAAATCTATTTTTTTTTTTTTTTAGGTGGAATCTATCTGTCACCCAGGCCAGAGTGCAGTGGTGCGATCTTGGCTCACTGCAACCTCTGCCTCCTGGGTTCAAGCAATTCTCCTGCCTCAGCCTCCCAAGTAGCTGGGATTACAGGCATGGTGGTACATGTACCACCATGCCTGGCTAGTGTTTTGTGTTTTTAGTAGAGATGAGATTTTTATCATGTTGGCCAGGCTGGTCTCAAACTCCTGACCTTCAGTGATCCACCCACCTTGGCCCTCCAAAGTGCTGTGATTACAGGAATGAGCCACCATACCCGGCCCTATGATACTTTATATTTTTGTTTGGTTACACTCTTATACCAGTAATAAACTGACAAAAATGGGCTCAAAGAAAAGGAATGGAAATAAAGTATATGTTTAAATAAATAATTTTAATTTCTCAAGAAAATACATGATGACTATATAATGTTTGTGTGTCAACGTTTATCATCTTATGGGATGTGTGGTAATATTACAAACCATGTGAATACCAGAAGTCACGCCTGCTGCAGAAGCCAAAGTGTGTCGTTCCATAGACAGAGTTATACACAGCACAAGATGGCTGCGCCTGGAGACAATGGATTTCCACATGCAGAGGTGAGTTTTACATATCAGTCAGTGAAACATAACTTCATCAAGATCAAATGATGGTTCTAAATTAATATTTCTCATTATACACATATATGTATGTATCTATACATATGTAATGAGAAAGATATATATGTGTATATTTACCTATTATAAATGTAGAGATAAATATTTGGAAGACTGTATCTCAACAGTGATTATCTCTAGGAAAGGGACAATATCACACTTAAAAAAAAATTTTTTTTTTTGTAGAGACAGAGTCTCACTATGTTGCCCCAGTCTGGTCTTAACTCCTGGGCTCAAGAAATCCTCCCACCTCAGCCTCCTAAAGTGCTGGGATTACAGGCATGAGCCACCATGCCTGGTATATCATACTTCTTTATGTTCATTTAACTTGTCTGTATTCTCTGACTCATTCCTTATACTTCTGTAATAACAAATAAAAAGAGAAAAAAGTTTCACTTAGAAGGGGAAATGACTGAATTCCTAATCTTTAGTAAACAACCTAGAGTTTATGAAACAGATAAGCGTGAACTTATAAAGCGGTCCATGCATTGTATTAATGGTCCCAATTAAAGGCTACCTGGCTCCATACTCTTTGCCTTGTAACTTTGTTGTCCTTTCTTGCTGTTAGTGAATGTTTCTCCAGGAACATACTTAGGCCAATGGAATGTTATCAGACGCAAGACGAGCAGGGGCTTGAAAAGCACATGTGCATTTCTGCATGCTCACTAGTGCATCTCTGCCCCAGCATGACAGCTTGTCCCAGCTAGCCTACTGGAGGAATGCAAAGACACGTGGAGAAAAGCAGAGACCATCCTAGTCCCACAAGTTCCTGTCAACCCCCCAATACAAGAGAGAGCCCAGCCGAGATCGACTGCTGATTGCAGATGCAGCAGCAAGTCCTATCTAGATAGGAATAATGGCTCAGCTGCCATAGACTTGGGAGCAACAAGAATGTGTCTTCAGATGCTTTGTTATTCACACTGTTGGGTCAATAGATAGCTGATAATAAGGAATAGATAATATGTGTGTGGAGAGGAGGAGAAAAGGACAAAAGAGACAAAAAAGAGAGAGGAACGGACATAAATGTTGCTACAGCCTCCCCATACATCACATCATAGGATATTCTGTCCAGTTCTCTACGGATAGGCCGGAGTATTTTGTACATTAGACTAAATCAATCTATGACACTTTTATGAGGCTTTTATTTTTCTTTATTTTTTTTTTTCGGGTCAGATGGGTAATGTGCCAAGGTCATAACAAGGTTCAAGGGTGGCACATCTTACCCATGTGTGATATCCAGTCATTATGCTCATGAACTACAAAAGGATCTCTTTTTTTTCAATAGCTTTGTCAAGGTATTCACATACCAGTTTACCAATGTGAAGTGCACAATTCAATAGTTTTTTGTATATTCACAGAGTTGTGCAACCAACCACGATCAATTTTGGAACATTTGTATCACCTCAAAAAGAAGTGTTCTACCCGTTAGCAGTCACTATGATTTCCTCCCCGCACCACCGCCCCCCACCTTCCGCCTCCTCAGCAATAGGCAACTACTAATCTCCTTTCTGTCTCTATAGAGTTGCTTATTTTATTTTATTTTACTGTATTTTATTTTATTGAGACAGAGTCTCTATCGCTCAGGCTGAAATGCAGTGTTGTGATCTCAGCTCACCTCCACCTCCCAGGTTCAAGTGATTCTCATGCCTCAGCATCCTGAGTAGCTGGAACTACAAGGTGGGCACAACCACGCCTGGCTAATATTTGTATTTTTAGTAGAGGTGGATGTTGGTGAGGTTGGTCTTGAACTTCTGGCCTCAAGTGATCCTCCCACCTTGGCATCCCAAAATGCTGGTATTATAGGCATGAGCCACCACACCCAGCCTGATATTTTATATTATATGTAGTCCTTTGTAACTGGCTTCTTTCACTTAGCATAATGCTTTAAAGATTCATCCGTGTTGTAGCATGTATCAGTATTTAGTTGTTTTTATTGTGGAATAATATTGCATTGTATGAATATTCTATATTTTGTTTATCCACTCATCAGTTACTGAACATTTTGGTTGTTGTTTCCAGTTTTTGCTTATTATGAATAATGCTGCTATGAACATTTATGCATAAGTTTGGTGTTTTTTTTGTTTTGTTTTGTTATGTTTTATAGACATATGCTTTTATTCCTCTTGGGTATATTATTAAGACTGGAGTTGCTGTGTCATATAGTGACACTACTATTTAACCTTTTGAGAAACTGGCAAACTGTTTTCTACCAGTTACAATGCATGAGAGTTCCAGTTACTCTGCATCTTTGTCAACACTTGTTATTGTCTGTATTTTTCAATTACAGCAACCCTAATGGCTGTAAAGTAATATCTCACTGTGGTTTTGGTATGCATTTCCCTAATAATTAATGATGTTTAGCCTCTTTTCATGTGTTTATTGGCCATGTGTATACCTTTTTATTTAGCAGAAATGCCTATTCAGATCTTTTGTGCATTTTAAATTAGCTTATTTATTGCTTTTTATTGCTGAGTTATAAGAGTTCTTTATATATTCTGAGTACAATATATGATCGCACATGTTTTCTCCTATTCTGTGGGTTGTCTTTTTGATTCCTTAAGTGTTTTTTGAAGAGTTCTTAATTTTGATAAAATCCAATTAATCTTTTTTTATTTTTAGATGGAGTCTTGCTCTGTTGCCCAGGCTGGATTCAAACTTGGCTCACTGCAACCTCTGCCTCCCAGGTTCATGCAATTCTCCTGCCTCAGCCTCCCAAGTAGCTGGGATTGCAGGCACACACTGCCATGCCTGGCTAATTTTTTTTGTATTTTAGTAGAGACGGGGTTTCACCGTGTTGCTCAGGCTGCTTGCAAACTCCTAAGCTCAGGCAATCTGCCTGCCTCAGCCTCCCAAAGTGCTGGGATTACAGGCATGAGCCACCGTGCTCAGCCCAATCAATCAATCAATCAATTTATTTATTTATTTATTTATTTTTATCACTTGTGTCTGTAAGCTTTGGATTCAGCTACAGTATTAGAGAGGACGCTTGCCACTCAGAATAAAAATTCCCCTCTTGGCCTGGTGACAGAGCAAGACCCCATCTCAAAAATAAATACATAAAAAATAAAATAAAATAAAATTCCCTTCTTTACGTGCCTTGGGCCATTTAAATGAGTATAGGGACAGGAGATTCAGAAGTCTAGGCTAAAACCCACTTTTATCTGGAAATATTCTGCTGATCTATCGCTCCAAAAAATAACACCCACAATTCTGGGGTGTGAAACCATGTGTTGTTGTTATCTCATGATTCTGGTGAGTAACTGGGCTCAGCTAGGTGATTCCACTCACATTTTATCACCTGGCTGCCATGAGACAGGGATCATGCCACAGTCATCTTGAGGGCTTGAAAATCATTCACATGTCTGGCACTGGGACAGAGAAAACTCAAACTGCTGAGCCTGGAACAGCCAGGCCTCCTTGGACTCTCTATTTTTACATGGTCTGTTCACGTGATCTCTACTGCATGGTAGTTTCATGTACTTATATGCTCCAAAGGCACATATTCTGAGCAAGAGAGCTAGATGGAAGCTGTACTACCTTTCAAGATGCAATTTTGAAAGTCATGTAGCATTACTTTATTTATTTTTGTGTATTTGTTTGTTTTGAGACAGAGTTTTGCTCTGCCACCCAGCTAGAGTGCAGTGGTGCAATCTCAGCTCACTGCAACCTCCGCCTCCCAGGATCAAGTAATTCTCCTGCCTCAGCCTCCTGAGTAGCTGGGATTACAGGTGCGTACCACAACATTTGACTAGTTTTTGTATTTCTAGTAAACACAGGGTTTCACCATGTTGGCCAGGCTGGTGTTGAACTCCCAACTTCAAGTGATCTGCCTGCTTCAGCCTCCCAAAGTGCTGGGATTACAGGTGTGAGCCATTGCACCTGGCCAACATAGCATTACTTTAGAGGTGCAGTCACAGAAACCTATCCAAGAAGTCTATCTGTGTTCAAGGGGAAAAGACATAGATGCTATCTCAATTGAGGTGAGGGGTGGGGTTTTTGGAAGTGCACATGGGATTGAACATATTGTTGCAGCCAGTTTTGAAAAAATACGGACTGCCGCAGGAAGTTTAGTTCGATTTGTTCAATTAATAACTATTGTATACCATCAATAGTAATACTTACTGACACCTACTCTATGCAAGAATCTAACTGATAGGACTGTTGTGAGGATTAACTGATTGAAACCATACATGTAAAGCACCTAGAATAGTGACTGGCACATAGTAAGTAATGTTAGGTGTACTCTACAGTTAAGGAAAATTAGGAAGCCATAACTATAGCATTAGCTTATTACCCTTCCCACCATTCAATTTTCAGTTGTTCCTTCTGCTAGTCACTTAAAAACAAACAAACAAAAGCTTTCTTCGTTTATGTCCTTGTTTTGGTGGAAAAGGTTTCATCTTCTGAAAGCTTCCTAAGAAAATGTACATGGAAGATAAATATTTTGAAATTGTATGTGTCTGAAATACATTTAATCCCATGCTTTACTACTAATTTGGCTGGGTATGAGAATCTATGTTGGAAGTAATTTTCCCTCAGATTTTAAAGACATTATTCCACTGTCTTTCAGTTTTATCCATTGCTACTGAGAAATCAGATGCCATTCTGATTCTGGATCCTTTATGTGAAACTTCATTTCCTCCTGGGCACTTGAAGATCTTCCTTATGACCTCAGTCTTCTGAAGTTTTGTCACGATGTGCCTTGGTGTGGTTCTGGTTTTGTCTATTGCATTCTGCTTAGTGAGCACTTTCAGTGTGGAACCTCATGCTCTTCAGTTCACAGAATATATAATTGAATTATTTAATTCATTTCTGCCCCTGTTTCCCGGATGTCCAGGGCTGGCTTTCTAATCTTCCTATCCTTTCTTATTTCTTTCCCTTCTTTTGGCCTTTTGGCTATACATTCTTTAGAATATTTTCTAACTTTATTTTCTTAGCATTTTACTAAGAAATAAGTTTCATTTTTGCTATCATATTTTTAATTTAAAAGAACTCTGTTTGATTCTCTGATTGTTAATTTTTAAGAGATTTTAAAAATTATTATTGTTGACACAGGGTCTTGCTATGTCTCCCAGGCTAGAGTGCAGTGGCAGTTCACAGGCATGATAGCAGCACACTACAACCTCAAACTGGGCTCAAGAGATCCTCCCACCTCAGCCTGTAGAGAAGCAGGGACTACAGTCTTATGTCACCATGCCCAGCATTTCTGTTTTATCTTATCTTTCTCAGAGAAGCTCTATAGTAGATTTCTCAAAGTTTTCTTCTCCCCATATTGTCTTTTTCTTCGTTTCATTTTTCCTGTTGGCGTGTTTTGAGTTCTATCTTTATTGTCAGAACCTTTCCTTATATTGTGATAACCCTTGGCTCTCTGCTCTCTGCTTTTATTTAAGTGTACCATATTTAGCAAAAAAAAAAAAAAAAAAAAAAAAAAGAAGGAAAGGAAGGTAGGTCAACAAACAGTTGGTCTAATAAAAATAAAATGGGAGAAAACGTAAATATACAAAATTAGGAACAAGGAATGGACGTAATCACAAATACAGAGAATATTTTTACACTTATGAGAGAATGCAAAATATGAATGAATGAAAGTAAACCACTGATTCCCAATACTGTTTTATGTGCTGTGTTTACAATGGTTAATGAGATAAAATCTATACCTTCTAATTTTAAATATATTTTTGTGATTACTTGATTAACATTTATGTCCTAACCACCCTTCTGCTTCCATGGCCCCTCCCCTTGCCAGTTAAAGAAATCTATGATTTTTAAATAGGCAAATCTCATGCCTATTTTTGTTTATAATTTTATCATTTTTATTCCCAGCATCGGACAGAGCTCCTTTACACATAGTGAAAAAAACAAGTTGTAATAGGCTATATTCTCTATCAACTAAAATTACACACACACACACACACACACACACACATACACACACACGCACACCCCTGAAAAAGGCAGAAAGGATATCTATGTACCTTCCTGTTGATAGGGTTTACTTATAAGTAATGAAAGCAACTGAGGTTTATTTTTATTTTTATTTATTTTTATTTTTTTTGCTTTTAGATATTTCCAAATGTTACAAAATGATTATGTATTATCATAATCAGGAAAAAATGTTTTAAAAACAACCCTTCATCAAAAAAAAAAAAAAAAGGTTAACATCAAACTAGAGAAAAAAAATTTTCCATTTATGTGAAAATAGGTTTTAATTAACACAATTAATATATGCAGAATTGAATATCCAATCTCAAGTTGTCATTCAGACACT